TATATATATATATATATATATATATATATATATATATATATATATATTCTCTCTCTCTCTCTCTCTCTCACTTTGAGACACAGTTTTTCTATATAGTCATGACTGTCCTAAAACTCTTTATATAGACCACGCTGGCCTTGAACTCACAGAGATCTGCCTCTTGAATGCTGAGATTAAAGGTATGGGCCACCACATCCCCTAACTTTTTCTCTTCCTAAGTTAATTTTAATTATTTTATTTGAGTATTGCAATGTGACTTTACTCATAGAAGAAAAAGTTGAAACTTACAGAGGCCCTGTGACTTGCCCAGTGTGGCACAGCTGGCAGACTAGACCTTGGTGTGTGTGTGTGGGGGGGGAGGGGTGTCCCTCTGGCCTGAGCCCAGGTTAATGCTTGTTGTCACACCTAGGTGTGGAGGTGTTGCACACAGGCGATCCTGTAACTTCTCTTGCTGTCCATGCGGTATGCAAACAAGGCATTGCTACTTATAGTAGACATATTAAGCACAAATTGGGATGGCTGGAGCAAAAGAGGCCATCTTGCCCACTCAGGTTTCTGTGCTTCCTAGGAACAGAGGCTGTATTTTCGAATAAATTACTCTTCTTCCAAAATACCAGTCTAGCTGCTTGAGTATTGTCACGCACCACTAATTCTCTTGTTTCTTTTTCACTTCTAGACTGTATTTTATCCATCTTCAAATAAGTTTTCCAGAGAATGTTCAGCTACTGGAATGTTCCTGAATAATACTTTTAATGTCGGCTTGGAGAAGAGCGTGGTGACAGGCCCTGACAATTACATCACCCACTATGACCGCTTTAACTTTCACCCCAGTTACAATGTCAACAGGCCATCTATCTGTGACTAAGGGAGTTGGCTGCCCATCGGGGGCGGGGGAGGTGTCTCCTGACTCAGTGCTGCTGTAGGGAGGAGACTGCTGCCCCTGATCCTTACCAAGTGCCCGGTTCTAAAGGCACAGATCTCACTGCCTTCTCAGAAAATGCTTTTCCTTCCAGGAGGAGAAAAATATGCAAATAGGGCCATAATGTCCTTCGTTCTGTATTTTACACAGGAAAGATGCTGATGGCAGGAATTGCTATTAAAACAGTTGCCACAGCCTCAATTTCTGGCTTGTCTCATCTTTGCCCTGGAGCAGCAGGGAACTGCACATCTTGGAACTCAGATCTTGGTCTGAAATGCAGGGTGTGACAGCGAGTGCCACAAAGTGTCTTTATTTGTGAGCTGTTGCCGTGTGTGTGTGTGTGTGTGTGTGTGTGTGTGTGTGTGTGTGTGTGACTATACTAGGCTAACATCTGCACAGACCCTAGAAAGTCCCCAGTGAGTGTGGGGTTCCCCAACTGGTAGTACAAATGTCAAGTGAGCATTCTCCAGTCACAATGAGGGTAAGGGGCAGGACATATGCCACGCACCAAGGTTGGCAATGATAGCCAATGTTAATAACTGTGGAGGTCAGAAATCTCCCATCCAAGTACCATTCAGGCATGACCTCACTTAGCTTCCCAGATTGGAAATACTGGTTTACACAAAGGCCCTCTCTGATCAGTTTATTTTTTTCTTTTAAGATTTTATTTTTAAATTGTGTGTGTGTGTGTGTGTGTGTGTGTGTGTGTGTGTGTGTGTGTAGGGGGGAGTCCAGAAGAGGCTGTCAGATTTTCTGGAGTTACAGGAGGTATGAACTGTGTTCCATCTGGGTACTGGGACCTGAACTTGGGTCCTTCACAAGAGTAGTATGTGCTCTTAGCCACTGAGCCATCTCTACAGTTCTCATTTTCTTTTTTTGGTCAGGCTTGACAGCAAATACCTGCTGGCCATCTTGTTGATGCAGATTTTTTTTTTAATGTGTGTGTGCTCCTGCACCTGAGTATACATATGTGTGGGTGGACTGTGCCACGTGTGGATATGTGAATGCCAGAGGCTGACATCAGATGTCTTTATTGCTCTCCACTATGTGTTTTGGGATGGGGTTCCCTCACTGAACCTGGAGTCTGATGTTTTGGTTAGACTGACTGGCCAATGAACCCTGGTGATCCACTGGCATCTGTCCTTAAGTGCCAGAGTTAAAGGTGCATGTCCCTTGCCTAGCATGCTAAAGGCCCGGGCTTCATCCCCAGCACCTCATAAATGGGGCACAGTGGCGCCCCCTAACATCCCAGAAGGAGGCAGGAGGGTCAGGAGTTACTTCCAGGCCAGCTTCCTCTGCTGCATGAGACTCTGCCTCCAAAGACCAAGGGAGAACTGAGCACATGAGACCACAGGTTCCCCAAGTCCAAAGTTTGTCAAGGTAAAGCTCATAAAGTCTTTGATGTTGGTGTTTTAGGGAAAAAAAAAAAAAAGGTGCATGTCCCCGTGCCTAGCTCCCAACTCAGGTCCTCAGGTTTGGGCGACAAATATTTTATCCACTGAGCCATCTCTCTACTCTTGAATTTTTTTTTAAACTTCATTCCCATGTATAAGGTTTTCTTACTACAAGAAATTTGGCCATCAGAAAGAAGAAATCCTTACACACTGTCATTAATGCTTTATTCACAGAAATTAAACACCCTGTTTTTTCCTTCAGTATTATTAATGCATAAAGTAAACATTTCGCAACAGTCTTAATGTCTAATTTGGAATGGCAATGCTTTCTAGAAAAAAAATTGATTAGTTTAATTAAAAGGCTATGAGCCAAGACTAAAGCCAGGATCTACAGACTTCTGAGGTAGAAAACCAACAGGCTGCTGGGTGTCCAGCTGAAAAGGGTTTTGTTATTGTTGTTGGTTTGGTTTTTTTTTTGTTGTTGTTGTTGTTTGTTTTTGACAAGGTTTCTTTGTGTAGCCCTGGCTGTCCCAGAACACACTCTGTAGACCAGGCGGCCCTCAAATACATGTAGATCCACCTGCCTCTGCCTCCTGAATGCCGGGACTAAAGGCATGCACCACCACATCTGGCATATTTTGTAAGATTTATTTAGGGATATCAGCAGTAGTGGTCCATGCCTTTAATCCCAGCACTAGGGAGGCTGAGGCAGAGTCAGGCAGGTCTAGCCTGGTCTATGTATCCAGTTCTAAGATGGTCAGGGTACACAGAGAAACTCTGTCTCCAAAAAGAAACTATTTTTATTTAGGGTTTGGAGAGAGAGCTCAGTGCTTAAGGGAACTGGCTGCTTTTCCAGAGCACCTGATTCAATTCTCAGCACCTACACAGTGAGTTACAATTGTAACTCCAGCTCTAGGGCCTCTGAGGGCACCATTGTGGTGCACAGACATACATGCAGACAAAACACCTATACATATGTGCATTAGTCAGGGTTCTCTAGAGTCACAGAACTTATGGAATGAATCCATATGTAAAAAGGGATTTATTGGAATGACTTACAGGCTACAGTCCAGCTAATCCAACAATGGCTAGTTGTGAAAGGGAAAGGCCAAGAATCTAGTAGATGCTCAGCCCCATGAGGCTGGGGGTCTCAGCTGGTCTTCTGTATATGCTGGCGTCCTGAAGAAGTAGGTGCCAATGCCAGTGAAGGGATGGATGTGCCTGCAAGGCAAGAGCAAGCAGGTCAAGAGCAAGAGCTTCCTTCTTCCATGTCCTTATATAGGCTTCCAGCAGAAGGTGTGACCCAGATTAAAGGTGTGTCTTCCCCGTCAAGATCCTGATCAAAGATGTGTGTCTTCCTACCTCAAAGGTCCAGACTAGAAGTGGATTCACTTACTTTAAACTGAGCAAAAATAGTCTCTCATAAGTGTGCCTGTCATTTCTGGATTGTAGTTCACTTAAGTTGACAAGAATAGCCATCACATCATAAATAAAACAATTTTAAACTTATTCTTTGTGTACACGCGTGTGCCTTTCTGAGTTTGTATGTGCCACATGAGTGCAGGTGCCTGAAGACCACAGAAGAGGAGCCCCTGCAAATGGAGTTACAGGAGATTGTGAGCCATCTGATTTCGGTGTTGGGAACCGAACCTGGGTCCTCAGCAGGAACAGTATTGTTCTTAACTGCTGAGCCATCTCTCTAGCCCCTGAATTAATCTGTGGCTTGTTGAGACAGGGTCTCACTATGTAGCCCTGGCTGTCCTGGAAACTCACTGTGTAAACCAGGCTGGCCCTGAACTCAGAGAGATCCACTGGACTCTGCCTCCCAAGTGCTGGGATTAAAGGTGTGTGCCACCATGTCTTGCTGAAAACAGGTTAACAATCATTAAAAGTATTCTTTAAATGCCACTGGCCTTGCTATATTTAGCCTCTCCCCTTTCCACATAGCTGAGAATGACCTTGAACTTCTGACTCTTTATCCGTCTCTTTAATGCTGGGATGACAGGTATGTGCCACCACACTAGGTTTATGTGGTGTTGGGGATTAAACTCAGCCAAGCTACATCCTCAGCCCCTCTCTTTCTTCTGTTGAAAGAAAAAAGCCCCACCAACCAGATGCTGAAAAGAGGGAATGCCTTCACAGCAGCCATCCTGAGGAGCAGGTGGACAGTGCCACAGTAGATAAAGCCAGAGGCTGAGCGGAGCCCAGAGTGACTGAGCTCCCGTCCTGCCCTGTGATGAGGAGGATTTGTCTCAGCAACCAGCACATCTGAAAAAAACTGTGTGCTGGACAGTCCCCACTTCCAATCCCAGGGGAATGTGGGGCCTGGGCCAGAACTGCCAGCTGGCAAACAAAATGTGGGTTGGCACAGGGACTGAGCTTGCCCGTGGGCTGTGTGGGTTTCACTCTGGCACTGCGGCCAGGCACTGAATTGCTTTAATTGGCCATGTCCAATAAAGTGCTTTTTCTGGGCGAGCTGATGAGAGTACAAAGGTGGACAGCGCATGTTAAATAGAGGAAGTGTCTGGAAAGACAAAAAGCCCAAATACTTCTCATGTAAGCCACCTGACAGGCTTACTCCATTTTCTGTTGGTATAACAAATTATCTTAGGCTTGTAACTTATAGAGAATGGAGGTTTATTTGGCTTAGGGTTCTAGAGCCTAGGAATTCCATACCAAGGCCCTGGTATCTCCTGGGCATCTATCTGCAAGGCCCTCACTTTGGAGAACATGCAGAGGCAACACATAACAAGCAGAGCAAGCCTTCTCACAAAACCACTCGTGCCACCATAGGGGCACCTACCCCCGCTTCCTGACTGTGCATGTGATGTGACCAGCTCTTCTCATCTGGCCGTTCCTGCTGTGACGGACTGTATCTTGAACTGAACCAGAGTCAACCCTGAAGTTTTGCTTTTGTCAAGAGCATTTTTATCATGTTGTTAAGAGTATTTTTGTCACAGGGACAGGACAAGAAACTAAGACATGAATGTGCACGTGCGATCTGCTGGCCACAGCTGATGGATGGCACAACCCTCAACCCAAGGGTGCTGTCCTCCCTAGAACCGGGGACAGCTTCTGCTGCACACAGCACAGCCAACTTGGAAGGAAAGCACTACTGCTCCTGAGTTCAGGAGACTGGACCAGTGCCATCCACAGGTAGGGAGCAGGGACAGGACTGAGAGATGCTATGTTGTGGGGTGAAGCTCCTTTCCTTAGGTGGTGATGTCATTACCCCCAAAACAAGGACAACCTAATTTGTGGATAGTACTTGGTTTATTCATTAGAAAAACAAAAACAAAAACCCAATGGGTCTTACATACAAAACAAGATGCTTTTTGTTTTCAAGGGTTAAAAGCACTCTTTAAAAATTTAAAGTGGGAACACGGATGACACAAAGCTGTTTCTCCCAGAAACACATGAACAAATGTAATATGCACATGGAATTTATTATACACAGACCATTCAGGGGCAAGACAGGACCACAGAGCCCTGTGCCCGTCACAGCTCCAACATGGCAGACACTGAGGGTGGTGGGAGTATGTGTCAGCATCTGGGCACAGAAGTGAATTGGTGCATAAAATAGAAAACTCACTTCCACGTTAGAACACCAACAGAATTCAGCCACAGTGTAGAGCCACAGCAATCCAGTACACTGAGCTGCTTGACTCAGGGGTGACAGGGAGATAATCGCAACACAGATGTAACCCTCACATCTGGGGTCCAGCACATCTTCAGCCCCAAGTTGCCACTGGCACCTCAGCACCAAGGCAGTTATCACTCTGGCTAACTTTCCAGGACCCAACGCTG